CCAGCACTAGGGAGGCAGAGGTAGATAGATCCTGTAAATTTGAGGCCAGCCTAGTCTACAGAGCTATTTCCAGGAGAGCCATGACTGTTACACAGAGGAAACCTGTCTCAAAAAACCAAACCTCCACCCCAGCAAACAAGACTGGTATGGTGGCACTGGTCTTTCATCCCAACATTCCATTTGCAGAAGCAGGTGGATTTCTGTGAATTCAAGGACAGCCTGGTCTAGTTTCACAGCAGCCAGGGCAAATAGTCAGATCATCCTATCTCAATAAAACAAAAACACAAATGACAACTGTGGATGTGGGGAAATAAAACACTAATTCACTGCTAAGTGGGGAAGCTGGAGACAGAGCTGCTGTATGCTCCGGCCCTACCATCCTGGCGCACCATACTCCACACTCTGGGACAGATACCTGCTCACTCACTGATGTTTACTGCTCTGTAGTCACAGCAGCCAGGACACAAAGACAAATCAGATGTCCAGCAACTGATGAGTGGGTGCAAATACGGTATATTTACACAACAGAGCATTTTAGCTATTAATAAAAATGAAATTATAATTTGGAATTATAGTCATTTGGAATATTCATAAAGGTGCCATGTTCAAGGGGGAGGAGAAACTGGGGTGAGGCAGTGGAAGGTAGAGGACAGAGTGGAGCAGGGATAAACAACACTAAGACATATGGGCCGGGCAGTGGTGGTGCACACCTTTAATCCCAGCACTCAGGAGGCAGAAGCAGCTGGATCTCTGAGTTCGAGGCCAGCCTGGTCTACAAGAGCTAATTCCAGGACAGGATCCAAAAGCTGCATAGAAACCCTATCTCGAAAAAACAAAAAAGGGGCATATGGAAAGGTACTACTACAGAGCCTTCCTAAATCTATTTCCCCCCACACACATACACAAGTTAAAACGGATTTATCCTGGAACAGAGCAACAACTTACCTACTAGACATCAGACGCTAACAAAAACCCAGTGACAGGTATGAGATGCCCATAGGTGTTGTTGGCCAGTGAGGTCCCTTAGATCCCCCACGATCGCCACTACTCTTGGTTGCCCTCCAGGCAGGAAGAACCTATTGCTGAAGACAGCATATACTTGAGTCATGGCAAAAATCAAGCTGGGAAGCACCTGGAAGCTTTATGCCTACTGATCAGCTAGTTTTCATAGTCCAGAAAGGTGCTATGCAAGTCACTGAAGGAGGAAGGTTATTATTTATGATCAGTTATGAACCCTAAAGCGACAAAAATAACTGGCTTGGAAATACAGGCTCACTGGCTTAATAGTGGCACAAATATCATGGGAAGAACCAACCACCTTTGACTGAATCTAAATCCCTCTCTACAGGACGAAACCCAAGCCTGGCACCATTATCAGACTAAGAGCCTATGGCTAAACAATTACAAGCTCAAGCTGGGCAGTGGTAGCATATGCCTTTAATCCCAGCACTTGGGAGGCAGAGACAGGTGGATCTCTGAGTTCAAGGCCAGCCAGGTCTACAGAGCAAGTTCCAGGATAGACTCTAAAGCTACACAGAGAAACCCTGTTTCAAAAACAAAACAAAATTTAAAAAAAAAAAAAAAGAAAAGGGAAAAAAAGAGAAATATCTCAAAGGTAGGGAACAAATTACTGTGAATGACTGACGTTTGGAGTACATTTTAGGAGATCTGATCTGGAACTGGTCAAGTTTAAGGGGACATCAGTGGGACATTTCGCTTCAGAGAACTTGAGGAGGCTAGGCTGTTGAATTCTGGGGAAATGGGGTGGCCCAGGGACCAAAGGTATGAAGCCTAGAGGGAGGCAGCATACAGGTGTGTCAGGAAGATCAAGTGCACACCTTTAGGACAGAGTCTGACGACAGACAGGGCCATGGCTGACCCACTTCTCCCAGCTGCCCTTCCTGGCTGCAAGAATACTCAATCTCCCGTGACACTGTTTATGAGACATAGCTCCGTACCAAGAGCAAATTGGGGCCTTCAGCCCAAATATGTCAAGAATCAAACCTGACTGTAGTATGCTGTGCCATTCAGGCTAAGGCTGCCCCTCACGATGCTGCAGAACTGAGAAGTTGCCAGAGACTTGGGTACAACCATGAGAACAAAAATCTCAAACCTTTAGCTCCTGCCACTTCAAAGGTTTGATAATGTCTGCTCCCTACTTCACGGTCAGAGTCTATTCTACTATAACAAGATGTTTAAGTGAGTCTCATGTATTGAGACAGTGTCTGGCTTTGTAGCACAGGTCAGCTCTGAAGTCACAGTAGCCCTCTTTAGTCTCCAGAGTCCTGGGATCACAGCATTTTTATTTTGGGACAGAATCTCACGTTCCAGACTAACCTTGACCTTCGGATCCCCTGCCGGCCTCTACCTCCCAAGTGCTAGGATTACAGGCAGGCAGCACCACAACACCCAGTTCAGCCTTTCATAAGCTCAGAACAGAGTTCAGCGTTCTCTCTCCCTAGAGAAAGACTCCATTGCTTAGCAGGGACCCTCTTAACCCTTTAGTGACCTTTGCCTTACAGTCTACTTTGTGTGGATTTTCTGTACACCTTTTCCCACATTACATTTGGTACCTTGTTTTGTTTTTTTTTTAAACATTTATTTTGAACTGTTTGTATTCACACTAGAGGCCAAGTTGCAGAAACTGGTTCTCCCCTTTCACTACATGGGTTTCAGGCATTGAACTCAGGTGGTGAGGTTTGGCAGGAAGCACCTTTACCCACAATCATCTCACTGGCCCACATTTTGATTTTATTGTTTTTTACTTAGTATACAAAGAAACTGGTCTTTGACATTTTCATACATATATATTCACTTTTGTTCCTAATCTTTTCTCTTGTAAACACTAGAGCCTTCCTTCTTACTTTTCTTGGCCAACCAGGTAATACGGGATTATAGACATGTGCCACCACATCCCACCTATGTGAAGGAGGGGATCAAACCCAGGGTTTTCTGCATTCGAGGCAAGCACTCCACCAAGTGAGCACTTTGTATTTTCATAGGTGAATGTAATGAATGTAAGATTTCTCCAGCTCTGGTTTTGTGCTATTTACCGTCCTATTTATTTTCCTTCATAAGCTGCTTCTGGCTTCCACGTTTCAGTGACCTTCACTACCCCCACCCCCTTTTTTCTTGTATGTGAACCATATTTTACATTTCTATTCTCTTAATGACCCCTCCTGTTTTAAGTGTTTTTTACATTTCTCTATTTACGCTATGTATTGGAAATCAGAGGACAGCTTGTAGGTGTTCTCCTATCATCATTAAAAACTCTTTCCAGGTTCAGCAGAGAGATGTCCTGAGACAGACTTCTGTCTACTGGCCACAGGGGAGCTGGAATGCGACACAGAGCCAGCAGCAACCCCAAAACAAAAGTGAACCCTTCTCTATGGGGAATGTCTCAGATTAGCATTGAGAAGGCACTAAATAAATAGGATTTAAGGCCATAATTAGGAAACCAATCCTACTGTCCCTCCCTAACCTGTAGCTGCTATATACTAGGACTTAGCATTTTAGGGATATAAAGCCTGGCTAATCCCCTTGGCAAGGGCAGCCTCTTTGCTCTAACATATCCTGGAGATTGAACTCGGGCCCTCATGCTTGAGGGCAAGAACTCTTATCCACAGTGCCATCTAGGTGCCTCCCCTTGTAGTTTTTGAAATATATACCTGGCCAAGCAGACAATAATATACTTCTAAACAAATCCAGAGTCCTAGGACATTTAAAAAACAAAACAAACAACCCAGCAGAGTCTCACTATCTAATGACCAAGCCAGCATTGAACTCAGAGATCAACCCGCCTCTGCCTATAGAGTGCTAGAATTAAGGCGCGCCCCGCCCCTGCGCAGCCTCCCTAAAGCAGGATTAGCGCCACTGCTCTCTTCTGCTCTAGGAATTCTTGTGACCCAAGCAACTTTTTTTTCATTTAAAGATTTATTTATTTATTACATATACAGTGTTCTGTCTGCTTATGTGCCTACAGTCAAGGAGAGGGCACCAGATCTCATTACTGATGGATGTGAGTCACCATGTGGTTGCTGGGAATTGAACTCAGGACCTCTGGAAGAGCAGACAGTGCTCTTATCCTTCGAGCCATCTCTCCAGCCCCCAGCAACTTGCTTTTTTTTTTTTACCTGCTTAGATTTACTTATATATCTATCAGTTAATTTACCAGTTTTCATCTAACGTCTTCTTCCATGTAATTATATATTGTTTCTGAAATACATCCTTTTGTCCCAAACAATGGCCTTTTGTAAATTCTTTATCTTTATTCTTCCTTACCTCAACTCTAGCCCATCTTTCTGCCTCAAACTCCCACAGAGCTAGGATTATAAGTGTGAGCTACATCTGGCATTAATCAATTTTAAAAGTTCTTTAGGAACTGCCTCTTCTTAAAGCATGGAATGGCTATGCTTCCCACCTTGCGCAAAACCCGTGTAGTTAAATTTAAGCCTTACACATGCTAGGAAAGTACTCTATCCTGAGTAACGTTCCTAGACCATACGTCTTTCTACTCTCAAGGGACTCCTCTACCCGTGAATGCTCACTTTGAATGTTGTCGATTCTGCGTGTTCTCTATCGTCTGGTTAGCCTCTTCTGATACACACCCCCATTCTGTGATTTTACTTTCCTGCTTTATCTAATTCGCCTATCAACCTCGCGTTGCCAAGACTATGCTTCCTATAGCAGTTCCAAATTTTTTTTAAAGCCGGCGGGAGGGAGGAGTGACGGACGGATACAGGGGGCCGGGACAGGACTGGAGCGATAGCTCGGCAGTTAAGAGTTCTGGCAATTATTACAAAGGATCTCAGTTCGGTTCCCATCACCGCCAGTATTAACTCCAGTCTCAAGAAATCCGCCTTTGTCGTCTGACCTCCGCGGGCACTCGCACGCGCGTCGTACACTTACACAAACGCATAACAACTTTAAAAAGCCTGGGTGTTCTACTCCCCCTCTCGCCCCACCTCCGTTACCATCTTTGACCTCTAATGCTAAGTTCGATGAAGGCGCAGTGTCCAAGAACTGGAGGCAACGAAATGAAGCTTTCACCTCAGTCTGAGGGACCGAGAGACAAGCCCGCCAACCGTGACGTCACAAAGCTGTGACGCGACGGGAGCTCCGCCCCCTCGCGACCTGCGCCGGGAATCCGGGCAGGCTGCGCCGTGGCGTCACAGGTCCGGGCAGGCGGGTTTTCCGTCGGCCCAATGGGAGCGGCGCGCCGGCCTCCCCTTTAAGGAATGTTGTGACCTGACGTCACCCAGGCGAGTTACCTCCCGCAGCCGCCACCGCCAGGCTCAGCGCGAGCCCTGCAGCCCTTGAGCTCGAGCCCCGGAGCCCCCGGCGCACCGAACCGCAGCCACATCCCTG